TTACACCACGAAGACTAATCAACCCGCCTAACACCACGAACATTTGTCCTCTCTCTCTCTCTCTCTCTCTCTCTCTCTCTCTCTCTCTCTCTCTCTCTCTCTGCACCTAATCACCGCCACATGGGCCCTCCACCTCAGCAGACAAACCGTCCTGATGTCCCGGGCGCGTCTCCTCCGTCTGTCCCGGCCTCCGATGTCCACCTCGGGTGTCCTCGGCCACCATATACTGAATGTCTCGCAGGAGGCCATCCGAGTACGTCAGCAGAAACGGCACACCAAGCGGGTCCCTGAACCTCATCATCATCTCTCCACCTTGCTCGTATATCATGCGACATACGGCCGGGACCCAACCAACAAGGGCGGAGCAACCATGCCTGCGGCGGATGTGAGCCATGTACCTGTTCTCGCCATCGCCCTGCCCTTGCCCACCAGGACTCCCCTCAACCATGGACCACATCCCCTGGTCTGGCATGGAGTCGTAATCCATGCACACCATCTGACGGTCCTCCTCCCTTATCTTCTCCCAGTATCGCTTTGCATGCTCCACAACCAGCACGTGGTCCTTCACATCTGCATTGAAAATGGAGACACTTGCCACTACCACCAGGAACTGTCACTGCTCCACCATGCCTGCATGCATCCACCTCAAGGGCAGCCAATGGCCTGTCTGCAGTTTCGCTGCCATGGTCACCTTGCCATCAACTGTTGCCGGCTGCAGACATCCTGGGACCCAATTCACACGATATCCATACTTCTGAGGGGCCACATGCTGCTGCAACTGCCCCTCAGGGATAACATGGGCCGCAATGTCTATGGCAGCCAGAACGTCAGGGTTCAGGTTGAATGGGTCTCATACCAGCGTGGTTATTCCATCAGCAGTAGCGTCCTCCCCTCTGGCATGCGTGTATGTGTACCCATGGTCACCCGCGAACACTTTCCCCTCTGCCACCTCGAGCTCCACAGGGTTTCGAAGAGGCGGCGAAAAACAACGAGCAGCAGGGGTGGGACAAGCCATCGCCATCTTCTCCTCTTCAGTCACCTCCCTGTTCAGGTGCCTAGATGAGAAGCTGCCGTTTATATAACACGTGGTTTATACATTCCCCATGGCATCACGCATTGACACCTTCACATGGCCACAAAGAAGCGGGGCGTCATGTGGCACCCAACCCCACCGTGGATCCCTCCTGGCATCAGTCTGTGGGCAAACCGAACTCGCTACAGTGTCCAACCCGCCAATCACCCATGACCCTCCGCAGTCGACACTGTCGTACTCAAAATCATTGAGCCTCAATTCGCCCTTCGCGTCCAGAACATGCCGCAGTTTCAACACATGCCGCGATTTGTCGTCAGCGCTCACCTCATCGTTCAACCTCAGCACTCTGTCGAAGATGATTGACAGAGTCACGCCCCTCCATAACGTCGCTTTGGGGGCGGGATATGGAACCCATTCCCCATTGATTTTGAACGCGAAGCACGGCGCTCCTCCAACGATACCCGGTTGAAGACGACCAGGCACCCAATTGATGTCATAGGGGAAGAGAGTTTCTGCTGACATCCTGACCACATTCTCGTCTGCAACAACACACCCTGCATCATTCTCACTGGCCTCACCATCCGTCATCATGTCTGCAGTCTGCTCACAAATTGCCGCAAGGACCACTGCACAGTCTGTGGTGTTTGCTCCGGCCGATATCCCTTCGTTGCTGACAACCGCGATACCCTTGACAATGTCCTGGGTCTCCATCGCACATGTCTCCACGCCGTTAACATTCGATTGAATCGCAGGCTCCATCTATTGCATGACACATCACACACATTTATGAGAAGCCCTAGCAGCGACGTGACCCCCTCACCACAGAGAGAGAGAGAGAGAGAGAGAGAGAGAGAGACTGGGACAGAGAGAGAGAGAGAGAGAGAGAGAGAGAGAGAGAGAGAGAGGTTGACTACTACGGGCCAGAACGAGAACAACCAGCAGCGGTGTGCACTTACATGACCCGCAGTAGTCAACCTCTCTCTCTCTCAGGCATACATACACTGCGTTAGAGGGCGGTTGGCTACTACGGGCCGTTGAGACAACAACCAGCATCGGTACACACTGACATGACATGCAGTAGTCAACCTCACCCAGCTGGAAAAAAAAAAAGAGAGTGGCACCAGCGCGAGGTTGACTACTGCGGGCCAGAACGAGAACAACCAGCAGCGGTGTACACTTACATGGCCCGCAGTAGTCAACCTCGCCCATACAGGCAGACATACACTGCGTTAGAGGGCGGTTGGCTACTTCGGGTCATCGGGACAACAACCAGCATCGGTACACACTGACATGGCACGCAATAGTCAACCTCACCCAGCTGTAAAAACAGAAAAAAATGTGGCACCAGCGACAGGTTGACTAATGCGGGCCAGAACGAGAACAACCACCAGCGGTGTACACTTACATGGCCCGCAGTAGTCAACCTCGCCCATACAGGCAAACATACACTGCGTTCCG